TGACATAAATTGTAATATATGCCGCTTAAGTTATTCTTTATTAGCATGTAAATATTCGATTACTGTACTGTAGTGTACTGATTACTACATATATTTTATTTATATGTGTCCAACATATTTTGTACATAACATGTCTGCTGCTTGTTCTATTTCCAATTATGTTCAATTTTGTTTTTGTTTTATTGTTATCATACAAACATTTTGTTCAAATATTTCTCACCATACATCTTATTCTTACGACAGATGCCTTTATACTTAATTAATTTCTCTAAAGCTAGCAGCACACATCACCATTTTCGTTGCTCGTACAGGCAATTTTCGTGGTCGGCAATTTTTGTGGCCGTTGCCGCGCCAAGCCACCACGGCAATCGGCAACAAAATCACTCGCAGACCAATCAAAATTAGCGCTGCCGTCACATTATTTCAAAATGGGCCAAATACAAACATACATATATACAAATATACAAACATACAAAAATACAAATATACAAATATAGGGCCCAGCTAGGCCTAAGTAACAGATATGTTGATAAAATTTATATATTACAAATATACAAATATACAAACATGCAAAAATACAAATATACAAATATAGGGCCCCTAGGCTTAAGTAACAGAAATGTTGATAAAATTTATATATTTCCTTTATATGATAACTGTATATGAATGGGATTAAAGCTACAACATCTGGCAACAAAAATTGCCGTCAACAGCTCAGTGGTAACGTGTGCTGTGACGCGGCAAAGGCGACAAAAATTGCCGACCACGAAAATTGCCTGTACGAGCAACGAAAATGGTGAAGTGTGCTGCATGCTTAAGGGTTGGCTGACTAGATGACCGTATGGTCTTTTCGCCACCCCTTCACTGCACGTTATTTATATTTTGTTAAAAAAATATTGTATCTGCTGATATTGAAAGTAATAAAATAAACTCTTATCTTATCTTATCTTCTACTCTGTATTGGCCACCATCAACATGCTGATTATGGTTTTTTATTATTACATTATTGTATCACATTGCCGGGCTGCATGTGCCACTGCCGCGAAAGTAACGTGGGGAATCCCCATCAGGGTGTCACATGCCACCGGAAGACCAAGGGTGGTTGTAGGATTAGAATTGACTCATCTATAATTTAAAGTTGACGTATATCGCACAAAACGTACCGTTTGACAAACATATCGCACAAAACGTACGTGAGACAATACCCCAAGCGAGCAAACCGAGACATTGCACGCGGCCCAAGGTCATTACGAAGCTCAGCATGGTTGAGCGCTGAAAACACGATAAACAGGAAATTGTATGCAGGAGTGATTTAATACTATGTCACCCTCCGAACGTTAACTACCGGCGATATGATTCTTCTTTATTTCATGAGATAAATTTGGGTATATGAGTCGTGGTTTTTTATTTACCATAACCTTACCATGAAATTCAATGAACATATTCCTAGATTGACGGCGATATGAGTTGCGGTGTTATTATGGTTTATTGATTACATGCAGGGTTGAGTTTCACATGAAGATCGGATGCTTGTATGTATGATTGTGTGTGTATGCGAGTATAGTAATTATTATAAATATATTATAATTATTATATGTTTTATATTTATCATACTATAATTAAAGTTGTATGTTATCTATTGCTTTGAAGACTGTAAAGAAATACAAAACAATCGTTTATTGCTGAACCGATCTCACCACCAATCACCGACAGATGAGTAAGTACTGCTTTGTTTCATAGTACATTTCGTAAGTTAGCGCAGAAAGATCTCTGTCTGGAAGTTTAATTCTCATGTATTATATTGCGTTTGCGTGCGCGCTTGTGTGTGCTTGTGTGCGTATGCAAGCGAGTAGGGCCTACACGTGCTATGTATGTGCGCGTGTGTGCGGGGGTGAGTACGTGCGTGAGTCTGTGCGTGCGCGCTTGCATGTGCGCTCAGGTGTATGGTCCTATGTGTTTCTGTTTCTGTTGTAGTACGTTGCAGTATCCAAATTTGGCATCGAAGCAACGGGCTATAGCTAGCCATGAGGTGTGACCTGGCTTGGGTAAAGCCAGGTAGTCCGCTTTTTAGCCAAAGGGCACTGAGGGTGGTCACAGCCATGCAGGTCACAGCATGTGAATACGAGTTGAATGGCGTTTGTGTCTATCTCCTCTCGTTCGCTCGCTGTGTGTATGGTACACGTGTGTTTATATGTATGTCTGCATTCGTTTGTGTATATTTTCTGATCGTTGTGTTTAAGAGATTGGCTATACTTTGAACGGCACCTGATATAACCCGTGGCGCCACAATTTGAGGATACTATATATATATATATATATACATATATATATATATATATATATATATATATATTTATATCGATCGATTTCAAGTCATTTTCATTCGCATTTGTACATATGACATCTGTTGAATCAATTAACACGGTAAAAGTTCACGTGGTATTTTGCAAGCCATTAGACTCTGAATGTTATAAGAAAGCGGCTGCTGCCGACAGTTGCAAGTTAGTCTAAGCCCGTTTTCCCTCTACGGACTACTACGGGTCGTGAAAGGGATTTTAGCGGTTCGCCAAATATTTACATTGCAACAAAAGGATTTTCTTAATCTCGGAAAATCGTTACGAGAATGTTTGCTCTGCTAGTTGAACACAGGAAGTTAATATTAGATATATATATATATTAAGTGGCATTGGTCCTGGAGTGCAGAGTGAGCAAAGATGGTCATTGGATTCAGAAACAAATCAGTTCAATATACTGTCTTGAAAATTATGCACATGAAACAATAATTATATTGCACGCATTTCTTTCATACGAACAAATAAATCATCAGCCTGGTAGGCCTACGGGCTCCATGCAAATAACGTGTGGGTTGCATGCGTTTCTATCACCTCTGTAATAGCCTACTCCAGTTTGGTGTGCACATACGAAAGGATCAAAGCAGTTTTAAAACTGGCATGTTTTTTTAATAATATTATTCGTACTAGAATGCGGGATAACTGTACTATTTCACACTATTCTCTCCAAAATTATATTGGGGCCATGTCCCCATACCTGTAGCAAAGAGTCTTGTATGGATATTTAAAAGTAGTTATCGATCTCTTATAACATTTTTTATTATTATTGCATTTGTAGAAGAATACATAAAATAAAATGTCTTGCAATAGTTAATTTGTGCCTGAAGTGCGGGCGTTATTTCACACCATTTATTTGAGAAATTATTGCGGGGAGTATACACCCCACCACCTAGTGGTCTGATATGTCATATAGAGGATCGCGGGGCCCACTGACCAAGACAAGAGAGTGGCTGGCACAATTATGTTGACAAACAATCGACTAAGCCAGCAACATGTTTCAATTTAGAAAAGTGCGATACATTGTGGTATTATGACTACCAAACCTGTACCTTTGCACAAATATAAGAGAAACAATCAATCAACAATAATCTAACACAATATAGACTACGAATTTGCATTTATGTGATTTTGTTCCTCGGTATCGGTAAACTGGTGCACCATGGCTTGTCGGCAGTTACCTTCGATGTAAACAATTGTGTTTCCACTGTGTTTTGAACGTGAACTTGATGAAGAACGTTGGTGCCCATGATCATACGGACTAATTGCTCCGATGTGTTAAGGTAGGGGCACACGAGCGATTTTTATCGCCCGATCGCCGCGAATTTTAAAATCGCTCGAAAAATTCGCCGGTGTGCCCGTACACGTCGACGCCGATTTTAATCGCCCGCACGAATCGCCCGTATCCAAAATGTTAGATATTTTCGGGCGATTATTTACGCCGGCGATTATTTACGCTGGCAAATTCGCTCGTGTGCCCGTGTCCGGCGGATTTTGTCGCCCGATCGATTTTTCTAAACCAATCGGACATGTTGTTGATATCATGTGATGTTAAAATCGGGCGATTAAATTCGCTACGTGTGCCCCTTCGTGATCGGGCGATTAAATTCGCTGGCGATTTTAATCGCCGCGATCAGGCGATAAAATACGCTCGTGTGCCCCTAGCATAATTATGAATGTATCCGATGAATGTGTCTGTAAGTCCTAGCGTTATCCAATCTATTTATTGACAACCTCGAAACCCAGCTAACACGAAAACGTTATTGTAACCGCTTTGTATGCTTCGGATAAAGTTATTCGATAACGTTTATTCAACGTAAATGTGTCCCTTTTTTTACGTTTGGAAAACATTCGTAAAATAAGTTGAATAAGTTGTGTGCGTGCGTGCGTGCGTGCACTCGAGTAAGCGTGCCTGCGTGCGCACGTACGTGTGCGTGCCCGTGTGTACGTAAATAAAACGTGGCTAGTAAAAAGTTTGTTGTGGGTAGTTGGTTGGTGCGAGTATTGGCGTCTACCAGGTAGCGCATACCATGCAGGACCAGCCATATTCGTTGCCAAACTAGCTAGGTCGGCTATATTGCCACAGCCGCCCAGCCCCTTTGCCGTCCACGTTTATTTTAAGGGTATAGTCGCCCGATACTTCCATCAGGTGTCGTCATTTACGGGGCGTGGTGGAGTCATGACCCGGAGGGAGGGGGGTACGCATTATTTCTCCCCATTTTTCGTTTTCCTTGCCATCTCTTTCCCGCTAAATTTTTTCCTAGCCATCTTTTTGCCTAGTCTTTTTGCCCAGAAAATTGTTCTTTTACATATCTGGCACACCCCGCTCATCACCTTTTTGCCACGCACGCAGGTGTACGTGCACACGCACGCACACATGAACGTACACGTGCACTCGCACGCACACACGCACGTGTACGTGCACACGCACGCACGGACGCACGCACGCACGTGTACGTGCACACGTGAAGACTGTAGCATTGCATGCATGCTTATGTGTACTGTATGGTCGAAATACGAAATATTTTGTCACAAATTAAAAAAATTAAAATGGGCTATCAACAAAGTATAATTTACATAAAAAACATAAAAAATAAAAAAATAATTTTATATAATTAAATCATGTTATACCTGTCCGAGAGGTGGCGCTAGTGCAGTCAAACATAGTGGTGAACGCTTGGACACGGGTGGATTTTTCATATAATGTGAATAACTTCCGAATTCATGCGACGTATTCGGTGAGAAACTTCTCCATCCATATGAGTAGAACCTTTTGTCATTTTAGAAAGAGGAAACATTAATTAAGGCGATTATTGTATTGAAATCTTTCGCCAGTCGCCACATTGCGTAACTACTACTAGTACTACTGCTATCCTAATACTAGGGCTCATACTCATAGGGTCTATGTCCGCCAGGGGACGTACCCTGGGTACGGTCCGGTATACCGGAACGTACCCTGGTCACTATTTGATATGGTTAGGGTTAGGGTTAGGGAGTAGGCGTAGGCGACTCCCTAGACTCGTTAGTGGAGTAGACGAGGTACGGTTCGGCATATTAGATAGTACCAGAGTACGTTCCGGTATACCGGACCGTACCCAGGGTACGTTCCGGCAGTACCCGGGGGGACATAGACCCTTTCAGCACTACTAGGCCTACTACTACTGCTGAGAGGGTCTATGTCCCCCGGGTTACTGCCGGAACTTACCCTGGGTACGGTCCGGTATACCGGAACGTACCCTGGTACTATCTAATATGCCGGACAGTACCTCGCCTACTCCACTAACGAGTCTAGGGAGTCGCCTACGCCTACTCCCTAACCCTAACCATATCAAATAGTTACCAGGGTACGTTCCGGTATACCGGACCGTACCCAGGGTACGTTCCGGCAGTACCCTGGGGGACATAGACCCTATGAGCACTACTACTACTAGTACTAGTACTAGTAGTAGTAGTAGTAGTAGTACTACTACTACTACTACCAGGAGTAAGATAATATAGGATCCTGTGTTAGGATATCCTATATTATCTTACTCCTGCTACTACTAGTAGTAGTACTACTACTACTAGTACTAGTACTACTACTAGTACTACTACTACTAGTAGTAGTACTACTACTACTAGTACTAGTACTACTATAGCTCTAGAACTATAGCCTTCCGCTCCGCCGCAGGGCTATAGAACATACTATGGCAATTTCAAGGTAGTAAGCAAAGACAACTTTTTACGGTTAATAACTTCTTCGGTACGCCAAATAAAGCACATTCTCTGTTGCACAAATGTCTTAAGTTACTGCAAACACTAAAACTAAACTGCAAACTAACGGTTAAATGTTGTACTTGCTATATTACTCGTCGACGAATATTATTTACAAACTTGTACCGCCATTTTTTGTTGCGCGGCGCCAGTGAGCGGGCACAATGTATTTCCAAGTGGAGGGGTGGGCAGGTTGCACGCGGTTATATCAACACCGCCGTTTTCTATTTCTGTTTCTGTTGTCATTGATACGTGCGTATTCTCCTGTTTCTCCATCGATACGCGGGTTTTTGCCATCGGTCCTCTGTCTGCCGCAACAGCCTGCAAACGCGTGCAACCTGCCCACCCCTCCACTTGGAAATACATTGTGCCCGCTCACTGGCGCCGGAACCACGCTAGCGCCGCGCAACGAAAAATGGCGGTGACAAGTTTGTAAATAATATTCGTCGACGAGTAATATAGCAAGTACAACATTTAACCATTAGTTTGGAGTTTAATTTTAGTGTTTGCAGTAACTTAAGACATTTGTGTGACAGAGAATGTGCTTTATTTGGCGTACCGAAAAAGTTATTAACCGTAAAAAGTTGTCTTTGCTTACTACCTGAAAATTGCCATAGTATGTTCTATATCCCTGCGGCGGAGTGGAGGGCTATAGTTCTAGAGCTAGTATTACTAGTACTAGTACTACTGCAAATGGGGTCGTTGTCGTATCAGATACTACAGATATGTACCTGAGGTAGTTTTAGGTTGTTTAGTATTACGTTTATATATTTATATGAGGTATGTTTAGGGTTAGGGTTAGGGTATACTTCTGTAGTACAAGTCTGGTACTACAGAACCCTAATCCCTAACCCTAACCCTAACCATATCAAATAGTTACCAGGGTACGTTCCGGTATACCGGACCGTACCCAGGGTTCGTTCCGGCAGTACCCTGGGTGGACATAGACCCTATGAGCACTACTACTACTAGCAACACAGTCAGTAACCCGAGGTCCCGAGTAACACAGCTGCAACTCGTAAAAGCAATTTCATTTGATAATAATATATGGGCAAAACTAAAAAACGATCGTTATATTTTTTGTAAAAAGGCGACTGAGTTTCTCAGGCATGAAATCGGCACTGGCTAGTATTATAAACGCAGCCTCACGGCACAGGCACTTGGAACGTTTCAATTAAAAAATGATGGTAAATAAACAGTCTTGCTTAATGTTCCTGAAATTCTCTAATCTTTTTCGCCAATTATTGCTGATAATTTGCCTGTGATAAGTGCCTGTGATTATATTTATAAGCATTAGAGGTGTAATGATAGGGTAATTCAGGACACATGCACTTAGGACAGTCAGTAAAAACCGAAAATAATATGAACACACATTCACAAATACTACCCGTCAATTACACTTCCACTGAACATTGTGTCACTGTATATAAAAATGCTTTCACAAAAACTAATGCAGAACTAGCCGCTCCCGCACTCGCCTCTGCGAGTGTGATGTGTTGCCATTATAATGATGTATATATAGAAGTCTTCTATATATCAGAAGTCTTCTAAGTTCTATATATATATCATTATAATAATATATAATTATATATATATATATATATATATATATAATATATGATTTAATATAATATAATGGTGACACAGCACACTCGCAGCGGCGAGTGCGGTAGCGACTAGTTCTGCATTAGTTTTGTGAAAGCAAGTTGATATACACTTATACAGACCAATATTTTCAGTTTTTTACTGACTCTGTCCCAAGTGCCTGTGGGTCAGGATACGATACATATCTCGATACGTAGGTCACGATAGGATATGTATTGTATCACAATACACAGACAGAAAGAGAGATACTGTAATTTGTAAATTGCATGCTATGATAAAATCGTCATATCATGTACAAATTAATAATGTTTTGTTTATTATTGTTTATTTGTAAATTTATAAAGGAACACTATACCATAGAATTTTAGAGTATATTCAGGGTTCTCCAAGCTTTCTCATTGTAGTATGGCGGGTGCTGCTTTTACGGTCCTAGTTGCAAATCGCCGAAGGCGGTTTGCGTGCTAGGGGGGTCCGGGGGCTATGATATTTAGCATGGCGGCTATGATATTTAGAGTGGCGGGGCTCGACGATAGCCTGGCGGGCCGCAAGGCTATAAGTTGTAAGTGCTTTTGGAGAACCCTGATATTATGATAGTGACTGCATAAATAATAGTATAGGTACCTACATAATTTCTATTCGCATTTGTCATAAAACAACTGTGAGTTTTCGGAAATCGTTATTTTACTATTATAACACTGTATAATAATTTATGTTTTCCAATAATTTCATAACACAAACGTATTATTAGTATGTCAAACTCATAAAGCCATCGAAATAAATAATCAGTTACTATATATATATATTATATCTATATATATATATATCAGAAGTAGATAATAGGGAAGGAGAGTGACTTCAATAAACAAGGGAAATTCGTCATTTACTAGTCGTATAATACCTACGATTTACTACGCGTAACTCATCCAACTTGAGCTCAAATTGTACACAGTACATTCGCCTAGCATCGTGCGAAATCGTTTCCTCGTATACACCCGCAATCCGGAGATATAGACTAAAACGTACAACACGATTTTCCATTCTGCTGCCAGCAAACTCGATGCGTTTTGCGCCGAAATTTAAACAAAAGGCAGCTACTAACCACAGCTTGCTCTCTCGGCGAGGCGGTGTGGCTCGCAGGGAGATTGGACATCGACGCAACACTTGGCGAGATAACCTTTGACTCGGCATACAGCTACATACCGGCATACAGCTGGTATGCCCCCCATGCACGCACGTCCACCGCAATCTCCCTGCGAGCCACACCGCCTCACCGAAAGAGCAAGCTGTGGTTAGTAGCTGCCTTTTGTTTAAATTTTGGCGCAAAACGCATCGAGTTTGCTGGCAGCAGAATGGAAAATCGTGTCGTACGTTTTAGTCTATATCTCCGGATTGCGGGTGTATACGAGGAAACGATTTCGCACGATGCTAGGCGAATGTACTGTGTACGATTTGAGCTCAAGTTGGATGAGTTACGCGTAGTAAATCGTAGGTATTATAAGGCTAGTAAATGACGAATTTCCCTTGTTTATTGAAGTCACACTCCTTCCCTATTATCTACTCCTGATATATATATTTCTATGGCTGAAACACACCGAGACATTTTTAGCGTGCTCTAGATGGTCCTGTAATCGACAGCTCCACTCACATGCACACCATTCACAGTGCACTGCTACAGTACATGCGCAATAATGACATGCACTAGTCAATCAGCACTCTTGACTGTTTTGCGATAATAATTTTGGCGGCAATACAAGTGTGCCACATATATTGACCCAGATTTTTAAGACATCCTAGGATATTTTTGTGATACTGAGAGGGAGATTGGTTATAACACACATGGTGTGCAAGCATATTAGTTTTACCAACTAAAATAGCTCTACCAGCAACAGGTTGTACTTGACTCTAGAGTGAGTTGGTAAGCAAGATGATCTTGATGAATTTTTCATGTAAATTGTAATGTGTATGTGTGCATGTATTCATAAATCAAGATTACGAAATGAGTGGTGCTATTAGTAAGTGTTGTAAGCACGTTTTGTGAGCACATGTCCTGTGGAATGTGTTGAACATGTAATGTGTTGAGCCTTTGTTTTATTTTGCTATCAGTATGGGGAGCTATTGTTGAGTGAGCAATCATTGGTGCATGGTCCTAATTCTTTTTGCTGTTTCTAATAATGTGTTTACATCGAGAAATCAACTCTGGTTTGCAGGACAATCTAATGCATATTCAATACAAGTTCTAAAGCCAAACAATGTTTGCCAAGTTAAAGAAGAAGATAGTTGAAGATGAACATCTTCAATCAGATGGGGGCGATGGAGATAATTCAGTGCTTCCAAGTCCTGTAGCAGCCCCCAGCAGAAGTCGTCTAGGTAGCAAATATATGACTTATCTAATGCTCACTTGTACCGAGTCATAATCACATATATAATGTAGGTGTTAACAATCTGCGGATGTGCAAGTTATACTTTACAGTCTCTGAAAATATCAAGTCGTTTTATGGTACTTCTAATGTAGCAAGACTGTGGAACATGTCATGTATTTTAATTATTTGAAACATTGTGGAATTGTATCATTGCGATCGTAACTTTTCTGGGTATTATTGGTTTGCCAGGCATAGTGCAACCATCTGTGGTGTATAACCATAGCCTAATATGATTATCCAGCAGCATGTCATGCAAGCAGCTTTCTGTTTTGTCACCACTGACACGTATTGAATTAAACGTGCACGTTTTGTAACTGGCAGTCTTCTGTGTGTATAGACTCGTCCGGTAAGTTGCCTGGACCTCTTGGTCAGACTCCGCCACAGAGCCCGGCTCCATCCATGTCTGCATCAGAAGTTTCTGTAAGTACTCGTAGCAAGAGGTGAGAAATCTGATATGAATATGAGCTGCCATGCAATGTTCTCCGGTAATTATGTCTGTATAGTAACTGTGCCCGTGTCAAGCCAGTTGAGTATAGGAGAGAGCATTGATCACCTCTAAACAGCATGTTAGACTAATTCTCATAATACTATATCAAATATTAACACAATAAAACTAACTATATGCAAATTTTCACTATGTGCAAAAATTATTGCAGACTGATTCAACTAGAACAAATGTAGAACAACTAAAACTTCTACTCAACAAGAGAAATGAACAAGTGAGAAAGCTGGAGCACCAAGTTTCAGGTAAATCATCAGAGACGCATCCGTGCGAGTGATTGTCGTGCCATCGCACATTGTGTTCCATGAACCAGACTTGTAAAATTAAGTCAATCTTTTGATAGCTGTTCCCTCTATAGAATCGCCACCTGTTCTTTGTAGCCATATATACAAAATACTCCCCCACTGAAAAATTGTGATTTATAGACATTATACAGAGCAGGTGCCACTTTAGTAAGACGAGTGCCAACTGTATTTTGTATTCGTCAAGCAATCTCCAGCTGCAATTTTCATGTTTTTCGCATGCTATCAACATTAGTGTACCATATTCTGGTGGACTATTAACTTGTGATGTACAGGTGGTAGCTGCACGTTGTTCAGTCCATATGAAGGAAGGTCAGTTCATTTCTCCCCATCCCTTTGTTTCCTCTGCCTCGACACTCTTCTCTGCACCCTATAGTGACTCCCTTACCCTCATAGCCCTGCTCTTGCTCTCATCTATCTTTTCAGTAATTTTATAGTTCTTAAATTTTTGCAGAGTATCATTCATTAATGAGAGAACAGACTAAATTGAAAGAGAAACTAGAGCACAATCTTGAAAGGCAACAGGACTGTAAGTTGTATAGGCCACAGATATTGCCATCTTTTAGAAGATTTCACGTTTACCTTAGCCCATTTAATACATTCAAAACTGTGACTTAAATATAATCTTTTGAATAACAAGGTGGTTATTTTGCATTAAGCCACTAATTACCTGTATGTTACTGTAATGATCGTGTGGATAAAGGTACACAGAAAATTTACCTATGTAATTGTTAGAAATCAGCCCTTAGATTAAGTTACTATACTATATATATATAATAATAATATATACAATTCTAATTAACAGCAGAATTATTGTTTACAGCAATAGAATTATGAATACTTCAATCAGTTTTAATGACTAGGGTTATTTCAACAAACTGAAGCTGATCATATATTAGTTTTCTTGGACAATAGCACTGGTTAAGGAACATCTACCTATCTTGTTTCAGCTGCTGCCAAACGGATCCAGGAGTTGAATGAAACCTACCATACATTGAATACAAAACAGGCAGATGGCTTTAAGAAGAAAGAAGAAGTAAGTGTCGCATGTATGAGATACATCACTAGTGAATCTAATTAATGTCACCTAATGTTGAAATTAAAGGGAGAGTTTACTCTAGGTTATAGGGTTATTTTCAGCTAATTTAGGTTATAATTATGCTACATAAAAAGTTTCATGGTTCAATCACCATTATAAATATTTTTTTTAAATGTTTTAAAACTAACGACTACAGTTTGATTACAACGACGGTGGCGCCACTTAAAGCGCACGATCTGATAAGTTGCGCAAAACCACTTTCCAGCCAAGGGCTACAGACCGAGGGTGTTTCTTATTTATTCATTTAAAAGCAAAAGGATTGTAATATCTTATAAACGACATATAGTTTCAGTTATAATATGGATAAATTTGCCCTAAAATGAATATCGTTTGGTTAAGTAGCATTTAGGTATAAATATAATTGCACTTTTGTGATTAGCCCTCGGTCTGTAACGTGCAAAATAAATTGTCAAATACGCAACTTTTTCGGGGTGGCAGCACGGTCGCGGGTGTCATGGCGCCGTTCAAGTTGATGTGTAATTAATTATAACAATTAAATTAGGTATCTGGTAACAAATACGTGTGGGTATAGACGATTTGTTATACAGTAAGTACAGTTGTATGCAGTAAAATCCTAGAGGCTACTGTCCCTTTAATGATACTAAGAATTGATAAACATTGCAGTTACATGCAACGACTGATATACAGGCCTATTCATATATCCCCTCCAAGCATTCAATTGCAAGGGAATAATATCTGCTATTGAGCAACTGCTAAATATACTCACAAAACTAAACTGGTTACATTCCTGCCTTCCAGGACATGAAGACCCATATAGTTGAGCTAGAGGCAAAGCTAGGCAATATAGAGCAGATCAAAGAGGCAGTATACAAACAGCAGGAAGAAATTGACAACATGGAAGGTCTACAAGTGCAAGAGATAGCCAAAGTAAAACACATGGTGAGAAGCTATGCTAGGTTGAGCAAGTATGTGTATGGACTTGCATGACATTATTTGCAAATTATTCTGCAACAAAGCAGGTTGACTGTGTGCATTCAAGCAATATCAATGTCATCTTTTTCATGTTGTTAAATGGGTCAAATACGACCTCAAATATAGCTGTTGAACAGTGATATTGGTGTATATGTCCTTTTCAATTGAGCATGCAATACTTTTCTCCATTGGATTTCTTTGCAATTTTTCTACTGCAAACTTCACATTATTGTATTGTCATTATAGTGACATAGTAAAATCCCATATGAGAATCCCTCTCTGACTCAATTGTCATCAAATTCAGTGTTTGGCAAAGAGGACACAGTTGAAATGTGCAATTGATTAAAGATATTCCCCTGCTATTGTTTTACTTTTACAGTTCCTCAATGCGGAGGAGAAGATAAGCAATTGCAATGCAGAATTGGATCAGAAGAACAGTGAAGTGACACGCCTGCAGGCCCATGTGGAGAAGGTGCAGGCACAACTGGCGAGCGTAATGGAGGAGAGGTGCATTACTATTATCATTTCATCAGTTTAAATCATTTCATCTGTCTGAAATGTGATATATAACGAACAAAAATTCGAAGTTATGTCATACTACCATATATTCTGTTATCATACACTTGTTATCTTACATTTGCTTGATATGGGTTTAAGAGCTATTTCAAGAGCTCATGTTACCCTGTAAAGGCTGTATGTCATGTACCGATGAAAATAAAGATTGCTTTACTTTACTTTACTTTACTTTACTAATGCCATTATTTATTTCCCTTGCTGTTCTCAATGCTTACCGCATAATTTAGGTTCTTTTTCAGGATGTTTCAATGAGATTTTGTACTTTCTGTGTAGTTAAGATGCGCCGACTAGCTCCTGCTGTGTATGTTAGATGCTCCCACCTGCCTCTGCTGTATAGTTATGTAAATATGATAAATTTTCTCTACTTGTGAGTAAATTTACTCTCTCTTACTTTTCTTACTTTCTCTGAATTTTCGATTAATGAAATGTCTCGTTATTGCATGTAACCTTAAGTTTCTGCTTACCAGTTGGTTTAACATTTTAGGAAGGAGCTGAGGGATCAGAATGAGCAGCAGTTATCATATGTGGAACTTGTGACAGAGGAACGTGACTGCATGCAAGCTAAAGTAAAAGAACTCACGAAGACCCTGGATGAGGTAAACAATTGAGTTTTTCACACACATACATGCGTGCACGTTTGCAAAACTAAGGATTGTTAAAAGTAAAAAAGGCTGGAAATTAAGGTATGTCGGTTAGGCAATTAGGCATGTCGGATGATTTATGGGATGTTGCAAATTAGCTTCTGGTTTGAAGCCATGTCAGACTTGACACAAGTTAAAGGTGTGTGAAAATCCCTGGGTAGGATAATGGCAATACTTATAAGTCTGCTTCTCAAAAGGTTAGTGGTGAGGTTTATATTGCATAAGTTTTTAAAGCATTTTGTATGTGTTTTGTTGTACTGATACTGCATTCTTGTCATCATAAGGTCGAAGGTAGCATGTTATGCTCTGGTATTCCAAAGTGCATTTTTCTATTGGGATACATTATGCATTATATATGCATACATTATGTGGGGATACCAGCTGTTGTGCTTACCCATGTGATGAATTGAAGAGATAGTCCTGTATGGTGATTATCACTTACATGAAAAGTAATGGAAGTAAAATTATGTATCAGTTCATGTGTTGGGCACAGCTGTCCACTTTCTAGACCAGTGACCTCATGAGGTAATGGGCATCGCCAGTAATAATTTACCATACATAAATTTCAACAGAGAAAGTTGACTTGGGGTTCTTTCATGAATATAATCGTAAACGTCATGCTAGGCAATTCTGACAAATTGGTTGGAAAAGAATAGGTTATCTATTAATGGCTGAAGAGAATGGCACGTGTCATAGACACACATAATTAGTAATAGGCAGAGGAGTTTAACCATTTATGAACAATGAGCAACTACTGTTATGAACCTGGAGTAATTACTCTGAAGAGGGGGCATTTTATTATCCTTACGACTAGTAGCCGTACTAGGTAAAGGTATACTAAAGAGTGGTGGGTATTAACAGTTTCAATATCCCTATGTTTGGTTGTGCACTATGTAGCCACAAATATGCAGTAAAGGTTGTGTACACTCGACTTGCATCAAGAAAATACGTGCCATAACTTGCTGTGCTACATCCGCATCATTAAAATACTTATCTCTACACTTCGATCGATTCATTACATATAAATCTTATAGATATTTTTATTATAATATAAATCAATGGTTAGTAAACATCACCCAACTCTTGATAATATATAAATATTATCATTTATTACCTACCATGTTGATACTAGCAGCAACTACAGTCGCATGGCCCTGCATGGATAAGCATAGGCGTATGAAATAAGATGGAGAAATCCAACGCGGAATCGCGTAGAAACGCTAAAAACACGGTATTTCTGAATTTGTGCTGCAAAGAAAGCGGGCCTTGATACGTTGCTGAGTGAGCTACAGGACAGGTACGATGCGCTGGAACATGCCACCAGCACCTACAGGCAGAGGGTACGTTAACGCATGGAGAGATACATGAGTTTGCTTGCGCAACTGGGCACGTCCACTGCTTCTTCCGCGAATCTTTTGTGTTGTTCTACTAGAAAAGTGCTCTAGCCGTTTTCTAATGTCTCGGTTGTTCAGTGGTGGTGAATATTGACGTTGGCATTATTGTTTGTTGCAGCCTGATGACCGTACGAAATCATTTTGGCTAAGCTGATTTTAAAAGCTATTATTTATTTTGAGGTAGTTCATTTATGAACTTGCACATCATGTTGCTTTATCTTTATATTATATATGAAATGAACAGGAAAGGATGGAATTATACTATTTATCGAGCCACCCAAAAAAAGTGCTTCAGGCTACTGCAAAAAATAAGTGCTTTAAGCATGGCTGACGTGAATTTAATGTCCATGTGTTCGATTTACGACATTGATTGCAATATTTTTTCCTGTGTGCTATAGCATCAGCTGAGGGTTGCTGCATTGAATTGGGGGGGGGGGTGTTCAATTGTGTATTTCCTCTTGATCCTTGCTGGGTTGTGAATCCACTCTAGCTTATTTTATCTAACGTGCAAGTCGTATGTGTACGTGGATGCATGCGTGCACGTATCTATTGTGTGGAATACCCATTCCCATTCACGGGGATAACGCAGTGACTTTATGCCTACTTTCTAAGATTACCACCACGTTTGCTGGAAAGGTGCATTTGACATGCAAGTTTCAAGATTTTAGAATTGAAGAACATGCCACGTTGCGCGTGACCTATCATCTGCTGTCATTCATAATTTTCTCTATGCGCAACTGTACAAAATTGGACGAATTCACGATTTAGACGTGGGTGGAGTGTTGGAAGTTTCAGCCGTGTTAACAATGTCGACTTGTGGGTTCGAGGTTCCTTATTTTTGTTTTATTTTTTTGGGCTGGTATCTAATAAAGCTTTGCTTCATGTTCTTATTCTTGCATATGTGTCTGGAAAGACGTTTTGCGAATTTGAACTCATTACCACTTTTGGTTATTTCAGCAATGAGCGTTGTTGCTTTGCAGTAATATTTTTGGCAATTTTGGCAATATACGCATCGGAATTCAGAATCGAAATGACTGAAAAGAAATTTGTTGAATAATCTAGCATGCATGAATAGGTAGAAATGCATTCCTGCTATGTAGGTAATTTATTTGAATAATACTATGCCAATACTGTATATATATATATATATATATATATGTATAACATAATAGAAGACAGTTGTTCTTACTTTGTTGACGTTAAATGAGAACTATGATATGTGTAACCAATTATGTATGGATATAAATGTGAAATATTTCTCTTTTATATAATGTTCTATTTGGTTTACAAAAAAACAACATTGTGGCAAGTTATTAGGCACATTATAGAATAAAGTATTGCACTGTATTAAAACTGCTTGCATGTTATTTTGAGCATACATTTACAGTGTCATCTCATACTGATAATCTAATTCTAGATATGGAATAAGAATATGCCGAGACGCATTAAAAATATTAAAATTATATATATTATTATAAATTATATTATATTGCTAAAATTATTGTTTTCTTACTTTTCCACAGATCAAGTCGGCTGATGAGGAGAAGGAAGATACAATATCTATTCTGCAGGAAAGAGTGTCTATTTTGGAGAAACGAGAGGAGAGCTGTTCACTTCAAGGAGACCAGAAAGTGGAAGCTCTTATATCTGAGGTCTATATTACATATCGTAAGGCTGCAGTTTTATAGGGGACGAATGGAAACGAGTTTTGCAATAAGATTTTTCCTTATTTAATGCAGCTGCCGCAAACTCTGTAGAATCCATTAATTAGATTTATTTAGTTTTGCTAAAGCTATTTAAAACACTAGCTGTATTATATCGGAGGAAGTCTATCGGAGAGATGGACGAAAATTTTGTTGTTGTAAGTAATTATAACTTATTATGTATTAGGATCTAACTGAGATAAACACATTTTTATGTGAACTATGGAGATCCGATGAAATTATTCAATCAAGCTTTGTAGAGATAGTCTCTTGCTTACCTACATGGTAAATTGACGGTACAGTTGTTTTAAAAACTCACTTCAGGTAGAATGAAAGGTAGAATTAGATCAGGAGTCTATCAAATATCTATTGATAGACTCCTGAGTCCTGATTAGATGGGAATCTGAATCTCAAATCATCTTCAGCCTCTATTAATTGTAGCGGGAAAACCTGGAGACAAAGCTGCAGGAGACAAGACAGCAGCTGACTGAGATTAAGTCTCTCTGGAGTGAAAAGATCAATTCTCTAGAAAATCAGGTAAAGTTCGATTAAGATCGTTGTACGTTACAGTCAGTGGGCAATCAGGTTGGCACTAGGCTCTGTGTAATTAGTTATAGGTAAAGGCTAGCAAACCAAGTTTGTTATAACAGTATAGTCCATTTATTTGTCTGTGATATGAGTTTTCTCTGTTCACCATTTCACATACAGAGGATTTCTTGTCAAGCTTGTACCAGAATTTCTGTTAAAGTGTGTTTACTAGCTGGACTTGACTGGCTGATTTGACACTGGTGTCGGTTGTTAATAGAGCCAAATTTGTCAGAAACAGTAACATTGCATGAATCTCTTCCTGTGCAGAGAACTGTACATTGTTATCTGTGTCCATTGTAATATGTTGGTTATTGGTGGGATTTTACTCTTACTTCCCATGTAGGTTGCACATTTAAACTCAAAGATAGCGGAGGACAACGATGAGTTGGTCGCAGCTAAGCATTCTGTGCAAGAGTTGCAGCAGAGAGGTGACAGTGCGGATGCAGAGTCGACAGAGCTCAGGTCACAGCTGCTGCATCTACAGCAGACGATCGACAGCAAAACCAACGAGTGCGACATGCTGGTAGAGTCTGATTTTTTGCAATTAATTTACGCAGATTGAACAACGAATATTTAATGAGGATTTTCATGTGAAACCCGACACTATGAAGCAGATGCTCGGTAAATAGTTAATGACTAAGTAGTGGTTGTGTTATATACAGGAGCATAAAGTACTTGGCTTCACCTGGCAATTTATGTGTAAATTAATGGGTAGTGTGAACTAGACATGTCTGCGCCTATATCTAGCTATAAATGCGATATGTATGTAAAAAAAAACAGGTCTTTCATTTTGAGGTGAGTGAATGCTCTCGATCGCACCCCCAAAACTGATACCAGGCAAGCAGAGGAACTGATCGCTTGCCTGAATTTTCTACGAATTGTGGCTGAATAATTGGCTGTCATGGATATATTCTTATTCCATTGACATATTGTTATTTGGAACGTTGTTTCAATCACTTGCTGCAATAATTTGCTTATTTCGAGTTAAAAGTCAAGTCAGCATCTTATGTTATACAGGAGAAGAGGCTGTGTGCATATTAGGGCTTCCAGTGACCTAGCGTGTTAATTGTTGGCAGGTGTTATCAATTCATTCTCCTGGGTTAAGTGTTAGGATTTTAGTTTATAGATTAAACCGGAAAGTGATGTTGCCATTTTTTTCATTTGTGAATCCCTTTGGTGAGCTTGACCACACCTTCAGCATTAACTTTGTTAATGAAAATGACCAGTATTCTTGTTAATTCCATTTTGTATTTGCAATTTTAGCCGACCAATATTTTTTAATTATTAATTATAATTAAGTAATAATTAAATGAAATTATATGTTATGTACCGTTTTCCACCGCTGTGCATCCAGCTGTGTCACCCATTGTTATTTTTCCTGACCCATTCTCCTTGTTAGATGTTCTATGCACTACACAGCAATTTTCACATTGTCTCTGGGCTTTTTGGAAGCAACTCGCTGTAGGGGAGTATTCAGTAATAACAAATGGAAATTCACCCAATCGGAAAAAAATAGTATGACGTTCTAATGTAGAGACTCAACTCTGACGAGAGTCTATTTCCACCTAGGTGCAGGCTGCTGAAGTCAAGGATGCCGATCTTTCGGAACGAGGCACGAACATCGCCAGTCTTCACGCCGAGATGCAAGAGCTGCGGCGGCGACTAGACGAAGCCATCACGGGCAGCGAACGGGAGGCTGCGCAGATTGCCGAGTTGCAGCAGCGGCTAGACGCCTCGACGTCTCGCGCCTCGGAAGCTGCCGGCGACGCGACGACCCTTCGGCAAGAGGTCGCCGACCTTCTCTCGACGGCCGAGGAATCGCGGTCGTCGGTGGCGGCGAGCGAGGCGCGGGTGACTCGTCTCGAGGAGGAGCTGCGTCTCGCCGAGACCACCTCGCGGGTCGCGGGCGACGAGCTGGTGGCGGCGGCAGAGGCGGCGGGCGCGCGGCTTGCCGACACGCAGCGCCACCTGGAGGAGAGGGAGCGCGACGTCAAAAATCTGCACGAGCAATTGGAGGCGGCCCGCTCTGAGGCGGACACCAGGGGGCACTGCCTGGATGAGCGCGTCGTGGGTCTCGAGCGGGAGTTGGACGCGGCGCGATCGGAGTTGGACACTAGAGGGCGCAGTTTAAACGAGCGCATTGCGGGTCTCGAGCAGGAAGTAGAGGTCGCGCGAGAATCGCTGCGGGAGGAGGGAGATCGCCGAGAGGAAGCTGAAGCCAGCGTGCGATCGCACGAGGAAGGCATCGCCACGATCGAGAAGCAGCTGGAAGCGGCGGCGAAGGCGAGGGAGAGTGAGGTGGCAGCACTGCAGGCACAGCTGGAGGCGGCCCGCTGCCAGGTCGAGGCGAAGGAACGCGAACTCGAGCAAGCGTCGCGAGACCTTCAGAGTGAAACTGCATCATTTTTGGTAGGGCATTTTGTCGTGTGTGTGTGTGTGTGTGTGTGTGGTAGAAATTATCTATTTTGCTGCATGCATAGCGTAGCAAGCATAATTTCACCCTTGTGTAGTGATCTGGTGCTTTTGCATTGTAACTATGTGTTTATGAGAGATTTATGTGAGTATTGTCATTATTAACATTGCAGCATCCAGTGAGGATAGTAACTTTTAATTATACATCAAATCATGCAGCTTTCTCAATTGGTTTTAATCAAGTGCAATAATGTGGTTAAAAACCGTTTTGTTTTTCAGAAGGTTTTCCCTGAAAGCATAACATGGCATTGTGGGTAATGTTGATAATGTGTATATCTGTCCTGCATGCTTACATTGCATCATTTACTTATTCATAGACCAAACACGAAGCATCAAAACAGGAGTTTGAGCAACTAAACATGAAGATGGCTGGCCTTGAACAGCATACAAGCTTTCTGCAGGTAGGGATGGATTGACATGCAGCAGAGTCATAGAATGTCACTTGTCTAAACCCCATCCTTTTCTTCTCAATAATCCACACACACACACACACTCAAAGTACAATGACGACCAATCTCTGTGAAGGTATATTACATGACACCTTATGTGCTTTATGTGAGTAGTGTAAATGTTACGAAGCAATTCTTTTATATTCATCGCTGTCACTCCATGGCACGATTGTGTTCTTGATTAACTAAAAACCAGTTTTTTGATATTACGTGTGACATTCACAGCTTTCTACCTTGCCCTTTAAAAATTGCCAGTGTGCAAAATTTATTAAAAATGGAACTCTGTAGAACTCTGCACATGATCTTATTTCACAATGCTATTGTAAGGTTCTCACTAAGTCTCGACAGGCGAGACTGATGGAGGCATTGTAGGCATGCAACCTTGTTTATCTTGTATGTGTGCTGTACACATTCTGTTTCCAGTCTGAAGTTAATGATAAAACAGCAGAACTTGTGACCTGGCAGGAGAAACTTCGAGCGGAGAAGGTTGATGCAGCTGAGACAGAGCAGAAGGTGAGTGACATGCTCTTACCTATGCTAGTGTTATTGTATTGACGAGTTTATCTTAATTCAATTCCTTGGGTCAGTCACTCAAGAATACAAATTTATCATCAACAATAAGTAATTTCCTTTAGTAACTGATTTGCATCAAACTGTTGAATTGCACTAATTTTGTCAAATCTTTGCAACTCTGCTCAATGCCCATGCCTAATTCCTCTCATGGTGTGAAAAGATGAATGTGACCATACGCCCATGTTGCAAAGACTAGAAATAACGTCTCGCTGGTATGGGTGCTTGGAGGTACATAAATTCTAGGTGCGATTACACGTGACGCTGTACAACTGCTGTAGGGTCTGTTTATACGAGTGTTATGCGTGCGATCGCATTTCTCTGCTGTCGTCGGTTTCAGTTACGAAGGCAACTGGAAGAGAATGAAGATGCCGTCGCGCACCTCAAGGAGCGAGTCGGCACTCTGGAGCAACGTGCAGAGAATAGCGCCCTCGAGGGAGACCAGATGGCAACCGCACTCGTTGCAGAGGTGAGTACAACAATCCACGAATCCTTTTGCAAGCGATCAGTCAAAATGATGTGTACAGTGAAAGGTTTGACACTGATTGTTTTGGCAATCGACTGTACACGGTACAGTGACGTCACCGCCGCGCTTATTAGGAAAATACAGGAAATTATTTCGGAACTAATATAGAATAGGTATGTATGATATACCCTAACTACTTTCCCCTTTACAGTCAACCTAGTGTTCAAGTGCCTAGTGCCTAGTTTCAGTTCCTAGTGATCAAGGGTGTGGTTGTGTAACATTTGTGCATTTGATTTCCTGTCCCCCTAAAAAATTTGCAGGCTGCAAATGATGTACCGTAATCTTTAAAAAAAAATACTGGTAATGTTTATTGGGAATGACCAACTGTAAAAATAACAACAAGCCCAACTGGTGCTACCACCTGTTGGCAAATATCACCAACGATTCAAGATGCCACCAAAGTGTAATAGAATAACCCAGTAACAAAATTTGTAACATAATTTATTCGTGGTTGAAAGTAACCTCAGCAGCTAATCATATTTAAAATTTGCCAATTTTATGATGCCGTTGGAATGAAGATGCTTTGGGAAATGATCTAAAATGCCGTTTTGACACCTCTTGAACTCTAGGTGGGCCCTGAACCCCATGATGTCTCTGTTTCACACTTGCACCAAAATTACTTAGTACTGCAGCAAGCCAGCAATTCAGTGCCTACCCTAACTAATAAATAAATCTGGCAAAAATCCTAGGTTTGAGTTCATGGTTGTTCTCATTTACCTTAAACAGCACATGTGTCATCTATTCACTTTATGTCACATACCTACTGCATTAAAAGTTTTATTAATTAGTCTAGTTTAGGTAATTATGCTTCTGCATGTGACCATAGTTGCAGAGAGGCATCCGATTACAAACAAATAATAGTAAAATAGTGCAGTATGTCCACCCTAACTGGGACTAACCATTTCTCAGCACAGGGATACACTTGTCTTCTAAATTATGAAACCTAGCTTAAGCATACCTTGTTTATAGCAGCCTTAGCTGCAAGTTTCTAACAGTTCATTTTAGTTAATGGATTCAAATGTGCATTTTCGTTTTTTAGTCGAATTTTATAATTAATGTGCTATTAAATTTATTTAAAGTAATTTTGCGATATATTCATGTTAAACTGTTAAAAACAGTTTCAATAACTGGTCTGGTTATTTTTATGACATAAGCTGACTGAAGTTGCTTGAGATTACATAGCTGTAGTGTAGGGTGTAGGTAACAAGAGCCAAGAATCTGGTGCTGCAAGCATCTCTCACGTCCACTGGGCAGGTTCTGGGCTTCTGAACACCAAAATATAGGTCCATGTTTTCCTCGTCATCCCTGTTCATGTTATCTTTGCGTTCGCAACTTTGGATGGACTATTATTTGCCTGTTGAGAAGGGAGCCTTTCGTGGCCAGAATCTTAACAGCGGTAGGAAACATATAGGAAGTAGCGGCGAAGTAGAATATGGTTACGGTTGACAATGTGGTCCAGGATGGCTGACTTCTGTAGTTCTCTTGCGGTTGAGGTGTGGGAAGCCTGGCTGATGACTGTTGCCACCGCTAAAGATTCTACATCATCTTTTTTATGTTCCTCGAGGCGAGTTCCAGATTTTCTTTCGGTTTCCCCTATATAAACGCTGGTGCAGTTGGCACAACCGATCGGGTATACCGAGCTGCTGCAGGTGTGTGCTTTTTCACCCTTACGTTGTACCAGTAGGTTTCTGAGTGTAGTGAGGGGATTGTAAGCCGAGTCAATGGCATGAGGACGGAGGGAAAGCGTGAAACGTTTACAAGTGGTGGCTCTCTGCTGTGCCGGGGTGCTTTCGATAGTGGTCTGTTCCTCAAAGTGCACGTATTGGTGAGAAGTGTGACAGTTTAATATGATCACGAGTGACATAACATAGATCAACATCAATAATAAAAATAGCTGTGTAGAGTATTAATATTATTATTATATAACTAATATTATCAGAATATTATAAATCTATATTATTTCACTCCTGATATGTAAATTCGACCTATAAAAATGATACCTAATGTTGTACTACTTTAAGCTGGGTTTATACTACCAACTTTGTGTTGCCGAATTGCTGAATTGCTGAATTGCCGAATTAGAACATGTTCTAATCTCCCAACTAGCTGCTATCGATCGGTTGGACATGCAACTTTTGCGTTTACACTGCCGATTGTCAGTTGCGAAATTGCGAAGTTGGTACAATTCGGCAATTTGCCAACACAAAGTTGGGCAGATGGGGTCGTTGTCGTATCAGGTACTACAGATATGTACCCGAGGTAGTTTTAGGTTGTTTAGTATTATGTTTATATTTTTATATAATTAGGAGGTAGTTTTAGGTTGTTTAGTATTATGTTTATATTTTTATATGAGGTATGTTTATGGTTATGGTTAGGGTTAGGGTTAGGGTACACTTCTGTAGTACAAGTCTGGTACACTTTGTGTATACATATATGTACCTCGGGTACATATCTGTAGTACCTGATACGACAACGACCCTTTGAGCCAAAGTTGGCAGTGTAAACCCAGCTTTATTTTCCCCAATTTTAGCTAACCCTTTTCCACGTATCCCCTGATGTTTAGAAACTTGTTAATTGTAGTGTTTGTAATTATAAACACATTAAGAATTAGCATTTCATCATCTACAGAAGTTGCTTTTGTGACTGTTTACTAGGTCGTTTGATTTTTCCACATTGTAGGATGTTTTCACTACATAAAGGTCTGTCAGACATTGTGAAATGTTGCATGCAGTGGAGCCAGTGTAATTGACTATTGGTCACATTGTTTGTTTATTAATTACAGACGAGTGGTAAAGGTAAGGCATTTTTTTCGGCGAACTACATGAAAACTAATAAAATAATTCCAAGAGAAAATCAATTGTTACACCATTGATGACAGCAAACGTCTGTATACGTTTATATGTATTTTGTTTAAATTATGTTACCAGACAATTTTGTACAAAAACAATCACAAACGCACTGTAAACACATGGTGGTGAGATAATATTACAAAATTATTGCAAAAAACGGTTATATTACAAAGGGAAGCGTGCTCAAATACAAGTGATTCTAAAGTTGATGCTTCTAAGCCTTGGCTGGCTTTGCTGCTGGCGCAGCTGGCTCTACCTTCTTGGCTGGCTCTGCTGCAGGTGCAGCTGGCTCTACCTTCTTGGCTGGCTCTGCTGCAGGTGCAGCTGGGGCTTCCTCTTGGCGTGGCTTCTGCTGCAGGTGCAGCTGGGGCTTCATCCTTGGCTGGCTCTGCTGGGCAAGGTGGCGGCAGCTTGGGGCCTTTCTCATGAACTACGACAGGTTGCAGGCGCAGTGCATGCCTCTGCAGGTGGCGGTGGGCCGGCTCCTTGGCTGGCTCTGCTGCAGGTGCAGCTGGGCTGCCTCCTTGGCTGGCTTCTGCTGCAGGTGCAGCTGGGGTTCCTCATAACTACGACAGGTTCGGGCGCAGTGCATGCCTCCGTTGGTGCAGCTGGGGCTGCCTCCTTGGCTGGCTCTGCTGCAGGTGCAGCTGGGGCTTCCTCATGAACTACGACAGGTTCGGGCGCAGTGCATGCCTCTGCAGGTGCAGCTGGGGCTTCCTCCTTGGCTGGCTCTGCTGGGCGTGCAGCTGGGGCTGCCTCCTTGGCTGGCTCTGCTGCAGTGGCAGCTGGCTTCACCTCCTTGGCTGGCTCTGCTGGCAGGTGCGCTGGGGCTTCCTCTGAACTACGAACAGGTTCAGGCGCAGTGCATGCCTCCGTTGGTGCAGCTGGGGCTTTCTCGGTAACTACGACAGGTTCGGGCGCAGTGCATGCCTCTGCAGGTGCAGCTGGGGCTTCCTCCTTGGCTGGCTCTGCTGCAGGTGCAGCTGGGGCTGCCTCCTTGGCTGGCTCTGCTGCAGGTGCAGCTGGGGCTTCCTCATGAACTACGAACAGTCGGGCGCAGTGGGCATGCTCTGGCAGGTGCAGCTGGGGCTTCCTCCTGGCTGGCTCTGCTGCTGCAGTGCGCTGGGGCTCTCAGACTGGTTGGCGCGTCTGCCTGCAGCAGGCAGCTGGGCTTCCTCATGAACTACGACAGGTTCGGGCGCAGTGCATGCCTCTGCAGGTGCAGCTGGGGCTGCCTCCTTGGCTGGTTCTGCAGCCGCGACTGGCTCAGGTGCAGTAGATTCCTATAAGTTTAAAACGGGTTACGGTTACTGTTTGAAGAAAGCAACGAGAAAGTATATAAACATAAATTGGCAGTAAATCCTATTAAAACATAACACTATGTATATAAATTTAAACGAAACTCTGCGTGACAGAATCGTATACTTTAAAACACATTTCACAGCATCACGTCATTAAGCATAGCACATAGATTTCGGGAAGACTGTGGGAAGCTTCCACAGTAGCATCACGTTCGTACTTCGTACTGCGCTCGTTGATCAACACGATCCCATTCACGCTGGTCACCGATCTTTCGTGCATCACGTCATGAGCGACAATTTCTCTGCGCGTAACATATATACCAGCAGACGAAGTTGCTTATCTTTCTCCTCGAGTTTGCGATCGCGCTCCTCGATCTTACTCGTCAGGTGGTCGAGCGAGTAGACAAAGTAGTCTGTCAACTCGTTCGTCAGCGTCTCCTTCTCTTTCTCGAGCTCCGCCTTGTGCACTGCCTGTCTGGATTTGAGCGACTCCTAAGTTTCCCCCCGTGGGAGGTAGAAGCGGTAGTGATTAGTGGAACCCACGCGTGAATGTCGTGCGCGTTTGATTCGTAACGAACTCTCAGAATGTAGGCGCCGAGCCACGTACAGCAACTCCCGCATCTGTACGTATACGGTTTCCATCCTGCCCCTCGGATGGCTCTCTCCGAAGCTAACCCAGCCACGCCAACGGTTTGGACGACTATGGGAGACGCATCGGGAGATGGTCAATGGTCGAGCGGTTGCCATTTGCAATGCTGCCATGTTAAGTACCGTACACGTATGCAAGTCGACAAACAGTGGTTGATACGCAACAATGTGCAATCTGGTGGTGAAGGGTCTAGCTGTCGGAGCGAGCTATCGCAGAGGTTATGTTCGTATAGAAGGGATGTCTGCGTTGGATGCAGAGGGTGAGAACGCATGCCACAGCCAGAAATAGCATGTTGGACTACTCATGCATTTACAATATCATGCATTACAAAGATGCTGGAAGAGGGTTCGCTACATACTGTACTGAAACAAGATGTGCAAGTTGCTTTTTTACAAGGGCTATCTATTAAAAGCACCTGCTATGCATAGCAATAAGTGTAATGCGCTGGATTTATTTTTACCGAAAGGGAGCTAGTGTACGACATTATATCTGCTATCTTGCAGAAGAATTTTTAATCATTACAGTTCAATTTAAATCTTTTGAACCCGTTTGTCAATGCGATAGTATTGGGGTTAATTTTTAGTTAAAACGTGACAAGTTATTATTGTTACCAGCTTAAAGTTGTAGGTTGCAGAAACAGCAGAATAAACCCAAAGGAGATCAAATCCATTCCAATATCTGACTATAGTTAGGAATTATTTACACACGTTTGACCTAGTAGTTTATTTAACCCGCTTATCTACATTGTTTTCGAATCTTGATGTGATCATGCTATGTTTATAATTAATTGCTGTTATGTAGGCTTGGTGCTATAAATCCACACCAATCTTTTCAATTCTGAACATGAAATTATGCAATAGTCTTGTAGTCTTACAATATTTGCATCTTTCACGTTCAGTTCCTTATCCCTGTCAAGCAGCTGCAATTCGAGATCCTTAATCTTTATTTCTCGGTCAGCGATCTCACACTGGTAAGTGCCTATTGAATCCATCATTCTATTCTCTTTGTGCTCCAGTGACAAACGCCACTCGCAGTGGATTCTCTTTGCCAATGATTTCTAAAAAGCAACAATATAAAGTGGAAATTTATTACGCCTTCCCGTGGCCCATGGTTCGGTACCATGGCCAGCTGCCCATGGTTTGGTTACCATGGTTTGGATACCATGGATTGGTACCATGGATTGGCCAGCTACCCATGGACCCCCCTGCCTTGGCCCTCTGCTCATGGTTTGAAACCATGGCCAGCTGTCCATGGTCCGGATTCATGGCATGGTGCTTATGGTTCATTGCCATGACGGGCCCATGCATGCCCATGCGTCAAGACCCATGACCCAGTGCCTGTTGTTCGGGGCCCATGGCCCAGTGCCCATGGTTCGAGGCCCGTGGCCAGGGTCCATGGACTATGTACCCATGGTTTGATGCCCAGGATTCGGTGCTAGTGGTACAATGCTTATGCCATCATGTGTCCACACCTTTTACACGGCCTCACATCAAAACATAAATACATGTTATATGACACATACATAGCAATAGCAACATGGAAACTGCGCCGTCAGTGACCAAATTACTGTCGCAGGCGAGCACGGTAACTGGAGAGGTCTATCAAGCAAGGGAGTTCGGCAACACATAGGCTATGGGGCGACAGCCAGGTAGCAAGGCAAATCGTGGTTTTTAAAGCAGTATGCGTCTAAGGCAATGTGCTCATCGTCATCTAGCCAGCATATTTTGCGGGGCATTACTTGTAGTAAGCTTGCCACAGCTTCGCCTTGCGGCATGCTGCACTGTCAACGTAATTGTATGTCATGGTGGTGGAGTCAGGTGGACGTGCGAGCGTCTAGCCACGTCTTGAACGTCGAGCGACGGTTTTCAGCTGGTTGTCGGCGCCGTGTGGCGCTACAGCGGCAGTGTGATAGCTGAATCGTTGACCTCCTCCTATCGCTTTTCGTGTCAGTAGTGGTGGTGGTTATGACCATGACCATATATATATATATGACCTATCATCATATATATTATCGTTATTATGACCATTAATGACATTAAAGTTGGGAACACTCCTAATGGAGTATCACCCCGCACGCAGGCATGCTCACACGTACGCACACACGCTCACGCGTACGCACACGCACCCACGTAGGCATGCTGGCACGCACGCAGGCACGCACGCGTGCACACAAACAAACTCACGCACACAGTGGGAGATTTTGGCTTTCCACACATCGGATGGGCCTGCCATCTGACGTGATAAAGCAAAGCAAAAATATTCTGTATATTTACACGACTTATTTTTTCTCTGCGCGCCACTCGCTCTGCGCCTGGTTCGCGTGTCTGCTTAGCACGTGTATGGGCGCCCTCGCCCACATGCTTTTGGTGCCGGAGGGCAGTGAACGATCACGTCATCTGCTCGATCAAGGATGGTATTGTGGTTTTGCTCTGCATTTGGCGCGAGTCGTGGCTTCTAGGGTCAACGCCAGGCGGCGCTTTGAACTGCTTCCGCCGCGCGGGTTGCGCGCCGCCGCACAGCGCCTCACTATACCTTCCAGTGCCTCACTATACCTTACAGTGCCTCACTATACCTTACAGTGCCTCACTATACCTTCCAGTGCCTCACTATACCTTACAGTGCCTCACTATACCTTACAGTGTCTCACTGACACTCGGCACCTCACCGTGTCTCACGCTAGCTCGCAACACCCTCAGCAATGCCTCGCCGCGGCCCGAGTCGTTGAAGACGTGGCTGGTGTCGCCGACGTGACCAACAAAGCTCTGTTGACACGGAAATAACGACCGGGTCGCCGCTTCTACCCCTTCTTCTCACCACCCTCTCCTTCGACAGGAAGGCGTCACCTAGCCAGCCAGCCGCTATCGTGCCGGCCGGCGGTCTCGCATACCAGTTTCTCCACGTGCCCTGCCTTGTCGCTCAGCTCCTTCTTGGCGGCAGCCGTCTCTGCTTCATGCTTTGCTACGGTGTTGCGAAGCTGCTCGCAATCGCATTGCTAAAAAGGCAAAGATACGCGAATGAAGCACCGCACCATTATTGCTCTGCCTAGACTCAATCAAAAGGCCGGTCGATGGATCGATGGATCGATAGCTGAGATGTATTAGGTAGGGCGTCTTACATTGACTGTACGCTGAGATGCGCATGTGTAAATCATGTGCATATTTCGCGCTCTAGCTCATATCTGTATTCAGCCAGCATGTAATGATTCGAACAAAACATAGTGCCCTGCGAGCAAGCTTACAGCACTTCTGTAGCGCCAAAACGACTGCAAGTGAGCGAGCGCAGACAGACTATAGCTGGGTGTGAGTTCTTGTAGCATTACTCACCAGCTTCTCGATGAGTATGTTCTTTTCGGCCAACTGCTTCTGTAGCTCCTCCACTGTAGCGACGGTCTCGGCCTGCGGGCGACACAACAAGAAAAGGAGTTTGGAAAGTTGGGAAAGAATGGTGCATGGTTGTAGGTTTGTAGGTTGATGTATCTCAGTGGTTCTTAACCTTTTTTTGTGTCATGGACCCTTTTGAGAATCTGGTGAAAGCTACGCACCTCTCCCCAGAAAGATGTTCACGGACCCACTGAAGCCTATCCACGGACCCCAAAGGGATTCATGGACCACAGGTTAAGAACCCCTGATGTATTGCATTGAAGCGGCTGTAGCAGCATATCACAGGGAGCATCTACCCTATCGCAATTCCTTCTGTGTAACCAAAAACAGTGCATCTCATAAAACACACGAGCTGCAAGTAACGCTGCGCAAGTACAGACAAGGTTGTGGCAGAACGACTTTGGATGATTCATGGTGAAATTGGCAAGGTGTTCAACAGCTAAATTTCAAGAGGGGAACGTTTTTCATTTAAGGATAGCCGAGGGAGTTAAATCTGAGAACAGCAGGAATTTCTTGACCCGAAAAAAACATTATGTAAATGTATTTTCGGGCGCGTAAATTGTGCGTATTAGATTCCGTTTGTTATGGCAATAAATACTGACCGGGCTGTCAAAATAATGGTTTGAGGCCAGCTACCTCAACGCTATTCGCGATAGTGATTTTACTGATCGAAAAACAGATTTTAGGTTTCGATTCCACAAACCATATTTTGCTTCCAGTTCCTATGCAACTAGGCTCTATATAAGAGCTGTGACTATGAATCACTCTATATCTACACATGTACGAAC